GTCTTTTGTTTCATCTGCCAATATACTGAAAACCTCACTATCTTTTACTTCAGCCACAATGTGCTTTTGCACCATATCTGCCAAAACTTCCAAGATCTCATTCTGGATTTGGTGACTAGTGTACTTGGCATTCCCATGTGCCTCAAGTTTTTTTTTTAATGAATGGGTCATGGTTGCAATTTGATCCAAAATAGCCATAAAATTGCCTTTATTGACAGAATCGTCATTTTCTCTGTGGCCTCTTTGCGCAATATTTTGTGTTGCAGTTAACAGCAACACATTAGCTATTGCTTTACTACACTGCTCACAAAAACTTAGGACACACTCAGAAAACACAATGTAACTCCAAATCAGTCAAATTTCTGGGATATCAGACTGTAAAGTTAGGAAGCCACACCTAATGTAAATCAATTTTACCTGGTGTTGTGGAAATTAAACAGACAACCAGGGGAAATGAGAGGCAATTAGCAAGATCACTCCAAAAGATTAATGGTTTTGCCATTACCATTTCCCTGTCCTCATCCTTTGTACCATATTTTTGGAACACTTTTGCATTTGTCCAGTGTTCTCACCACTAGAGGTGTCATGAGGAGGCATCTACAACCCACAGAAGTTGCTCAGGGAGTGATGCTCATCCAAAATGGCATGTCCTTTCGTGCTGTGGCAAGAAGGTTTGCTGTGTCTCCCAGTGCAGTGTCCGGCGCATGGAGGAGATATCAGGAGACAGGCCAGTACACCAGGAGACCTGGGGGGGGGCTACCGAGGTCAACAACCCAGCAGCAGGACCGCTATCTGCTCATTTGTGCTCAAAGAAACAGGAGAAGCACTGCCCGAGCATGTCTCGGTCCATCCATCAATGCCACGTCGCACCACAGACTGTCCAGGAGCTGACTAATGCTCTAGTCCAGGTCTGGGAGGAGATCCCTCTGGAGGACATCCGTGGTCTCATCAGGAGCATGCCCAGGCGTTGTAGGGAGTGCATTCAGGCACGTGGAGGCCACACACACTACTGAGGATGATAAAGACTCATTTTGAGGAAAGTCTACAAAATTTGGATCCACCAATTACCTCATTTGTCACTTTGATTTTGACTATAATTTTGGATCCAGACCCCCAGGGGCTGAGAATTTGATTTCCATTTATCATTCTTATGTTATTGTAACGTGCCACAGCAGTGTTCTGTTTTGTCAGGTTTATTGTTATGTTGACTGTTAAGTGTTTGCACCATGACTTAGCTCACCATGTTAATTGATAGGGTCCTATGCTTTCAGTGTTATGCAGTCTAATGTTAAAACTGTAATAAAACTGCCTTCTCGGGGTCTTGCGGTGTATGTGGCACGAGTTGAGCAAAGAAACTCTATCTCCCGTGACTTATTTGACTAAAACGTCACATTATTTTGTTGTCAACACACCATGGATAAAGTTTTTCATCCAAAAAATCTAGGATGGTTTTTTGAATGTGCCCTAAGTTTTAGTGAGCAGTGTATATTGCTTGTTTTCCTCAATCTTCTGTTTTTGAGCTTCATTTAATGATTTTGAAGTACAATGCTCCTTTTGTGTTCCTCCCAGGCATACATGGCATTTGAGTGTTGTTCTGATTTTGAGTATAGTTTAAATCCAGCATCTTTAAAAAGTGCCTTTTTCCAGTTGAAGAAGCCTGACTCTGACATAAAGGCAGATTCTGTGGAGCCTGGTAGTAAAAAATGATGGCATGCAAAACAAAAACTAGCATTTTTGCTGATGGAGTACTCTAGCCATGGATTGTCTTTGTACCAAGACTTGTTGAATGCCCTCATTCTTTGTCCATGCTGTGTCTTTAAATAACTTGGCAGGCATGGCTGAGTCGGGCCTTCCTCCCTGGATCTTGAGATGTCTGCAATAATAATATTGCAATAAGTAGTATTGTTTTATGTAAATACACATATTAACTACTTATAACAAATTGTACTTTCCAACTTTATTCCTAACCTAATTGTTCAATGAGTGCACTGTGCATCAGGCCTACGACTTGGTCCTTTTGGTACTGAATAAGCTGCTTTGGAGCTTGTGGGGAGTTCAGAAGGTGCTTCATTTATTTCCTCTTCCTCAAAAGAAATGTCCGTACCTGTCTGCGACTCCCTCTCATCCTCTGAAACTGAATTATATAAGCTATATTTTAATACAACACAACAAATTCCTCATCATGAAAATTCTCAAAACATACTGCCTCCGAGTCTGACCTTCAGGTGAGGAGTCATTCTGATCTACAGGAGCTTTCTTTACAAAAAAAAGAAGAAATGTCTCCTCTTTTTCTTTTCATGTTTAAACTGGGGGGCGATGATACAATGTGCAATTAATAATGGAGAATACACACGCATGCACACACACACACTCACGCTAAAAGTACTACAAACTGAACGAGTAATGTGCTGCAGTACGTGTGTCTATACTTCATATCAAATGTAAACGGCCCTGTGTCGCCAACTTACCTTCTGTTTTCATAACAACTCGAGCACATGTGAGTCCAAAAACCAATGAAAAGCAGTAGGGTTAGCATACAGCGCCGCGCCGGCTCAAGACCTCTCAACACGGAGTCTGGGTGCGTTCACAGACAGTGGAAACCGTTGGAATTTTTAGTTTTTGGCGGAAAAAGTGCGGAAGATTCTCAAGATATGCACATTATTAAATTGCCGTCTTCCGAGGGTGAGCACTGGGGGTGGCAAGGGTATTTTTAGAGGTGGCAGTGGCCACCCTGGCTACCCCTCTGGCTCCGCCACTGATGCTGAGAAGTGGGATGTCTCTGTTTCTTCTGCTGCCTACAGAACCTCTGCCAGAAGAAATGGAACACCTCTGAGCTGCTCCCTTTGACTGAGGACATTAGAGCTATGCATAAACAAATAGAGGTATGGCCCTAGTAAATATTTACAGAACCTCAAGGAGGAACCGACCCCCAAACACTGGTCTAAACTCTTGACGCTTTGCAAGGTCATTATTTTCAATCGACCAAGGGAAGGTGAGGTTTCAAAGATGCCACTGTGTTTACCTCAAAAAGTAAAACTGGTATCCATACTGACTTTGCTTTCCGACTGTCTGAAATTGAAAAAAGCGGTGTCAGCAATGTTCTGCACCTCTATCGCTGATGTGGAGGTTCGTAGCTGTGGTGACAAGGTCTCTGGTGCCAGCGGCAACCCCCGAACCCGGTTGTGGAAACCAGTGGTAAGGGAAGCCGTCAGGCTTAAGAAGGAGGCCTATCGAGCCATGATGGTTCGTGGGACTCCTGAGATAGCTGCCCTGTATTGGCAGATCAAGCGTGCCACGGCCCGGGGTGTTGCAGAGGCAAAAACCCGGCACTGGGAGTAGTTTGAAGAGTCCATGGAACATGAGTATTGGTCAGCCTCGAATAGATTCTGGCAAACCGTCCGGCGCCTCAGGAGGGGGAAGCCGTGCTTTGTGAACATCGTGTACGTGCGGGTGGAGAGCTGCTGACCTCAACTGGGGATATTGTCGGGCGGTGGAAGGAATACTTTGAGGTTCTCCTCAATCCCCGGTCACGTCCTCCATTCCGGAGGCAGGCTGAGGATGTTGGGTCTGATACTTCCATCTACCTGGCTGAGGTCATCAAGGTGGTTGGCAGCCTCCTTGGTGTCAAGGCTCCGCGAGTGGATGAGATCCGTACGGACTATCTATTGTCTCTGGATCTTGTAGGACTGTCTTGGCTGACACGTCTCTGCAACATCAGGTGGCGATCTGGTGCGGTACCAATTTAGAGGCAGAGAGGGATGGTGGTCCCCCTCTACAAGAAGCGGGACCAGAGGGTTTGTTCCAATTATCGCGGGATCACACACCTCAGCCTCCCCATCAAGGTCTACTCCAAGGTACTGGAGAATCTCGGATTCAGTAGGAGCAGTGTGGTTTTTGTCCCGGCTGCAGAACACTGGACCATCTCTATACTCTCAATCGGATACTCGAGGGTTCATGGGAGTTCGCCCAACCTCTCCATATGCGCTTTGTGGATCTGGAGAAGGCGTTCGACCTGTTCCCTGGGGTGTCCTTTGGGGCGTTCTTCAGGAGTACGGGGTGCGGGGTCCTCTGCTAAGGGCCGTCCGGTCCCTTTATGACCGGAGCCAGAGCTGCGTTCGCGTCACCGGCACTAAGTCAGACCTGTTCCCGGTGCATGTTGGCCTCCAACAAGGCTGCCCTTTGTCACCGACTCTGTTCACTGTCTTTATGTACAGAAATTCTAGGCGCAGCCAGGGGCCGGAGGGGGGTCCAGTTCGGAGAGCTAGGGATTTCATCTCTGCTGTTTGCGGACGATGTTGTCCTGTTGGCTCCAACGAACCAGGACCTGCAACATGCATTGGGATGGTTTGCAGGTTTGTGAAGTGGCTGGGATGAGAATCAGCCCCTCCAAATCCGAGGCCATGGTGCTCGACCGGAAAAAGGTGCCTTGCCCTCTCCAGGTGGGTGGAGCAGTCCTTCCTCAAGTTGAGGAGTTCACTTGAGGAAGATCTGTGAGGACTGCTTCCTCACAGATCAGTCTGTGAGATTGACAGACTGATCGGTGCAGTGTGCGCAGTAATGCGGGCGCTGTATCGAACCGTTGTGGTAAAGAGGGAGCTGAGTCGAAGGCAAAGCTCTCGATTTACCGGTCAATCTTCGTTCCCTCCCTCACCTATGGTCATGAACTTTGGGTAATGACCGAAAGAACGAGATTGCGGATACAAGCGGTGAGCTTCCTCCGCAGAGTAGCTGGGTACTCCCTAAGAGATAAGGTGAGGATCTCAGTCACACGGGAGAAGCTCGGAGTAGAGCCGCTGCTTCTCCACGTTGAGAGAAACCAGTTGAGGTGGCTTGGGCACTGGTTCCGGATGCCTCCTGGATGTCTTCCCTGGGAGCTGTCCCGGGCACGTCCCACCGGGAGGAGACCAGGGGAAGATCCAGGACACGCTGGATGGACTATGCCTCTCAGCTGGCCTGGAACGCCTTGGGATCCCCCCGGATGGGCTAGAGGAAGTGTGTGCTTAGACGGCTGCCCACGCGGATGGTCCAGCCAGGGGGCCTGGGTTGAGGGGCGAGGCTGCGGCCTGGAGCTGGGAGTGTATACTTATAATCTCTCTTTTCTGTCTCCAGAACGTGTATGAAAGCCATGGTCTGCATCTGAGGTGAAGGAGGTGGAGAAGACTATGACGTCTCTCATAAAAAATGGAATGGTCCCTGGAAAGTCCCACTGCCTGCACCAACACCTCTCCAGAGGACTTTACACATTCGACATGGAGTGGCTAATAAAATCACTGCAATTAGGAAAAAAGCTCAATAAAAGTGTCTGAAACCTTTTGTCTGGAAATGATTTGTATAACTTAAAAAGAAGTTCCAGTACAGGTCTGAAACAAAAAAATATAAATAAAGTGTGTCGAGTGGAGTGTAGAGTAAGTCTAAAGTGACCCCAGTTTTGGCAAAAATATAACGTGATTTTAGGGGTTAAAACCATGTCTCTGGGTCCTTCAGAAACGGTGGGCCCCATATGGCACGTCCCTGTCCTCGGGCATCACCATGTAGCAAAAACAGGTGTGTGTCACGCTACTTGTACTTAAGACTAGTACTTTTGCTATCTCTGGATCTGATAGTAGTAGTAGTAGAAAGATAGATATGTAATGGTACATATTTTGAGTGTGTAACTATTGTACAAACGGAGCATATGAACTTACATGTCCATTGTTGACAGCTGTGTGCTGGGCTGAGGAATTGAAAATGACCATAGTCACAAACTTCACCAACTCATCCACAGTACAGAACGTCTGTGGGATTCCTGCAAAAACATTTTGATCAAATATTACAGTGGTAGTAAAGAGATATGGGAAATTTGTTTTTTCTAATGACTTACCGCTTTCTGTTTCAGACAGAAAGCCATATTCAAATATTTCCTTGATATAAGCCTGCAGCTCAGAGTCATCTTTGACCTCCGCATCGTTCTTGTAGTAGTGCTTTATCACTCCTGTCACAAACCTAAAGGATGAAGAGGATGAAGTCGCTTCACATAGTGCTATGTCACAATACAACTCCTGAAGAGCCTCAAGTGGGAACTGTGAAAGTGACACAAGTCTTTCCTGTGTAAATTATGCTACAACCACTACTACAATGGTTTCTGCTCAACATGGGAAGCAAAGCCAAAGATTATTGTTTGTTGATGATCGGTCCTGACTAGAACCAGGAAGTGCCATCACATTAGTCCAGTTCTCAGGTCTCTGCACTGGATTCCTGTGACTCAAACTTGGATTTTAAAGCAGCTCTGTTCGTTACAAGTCTCTCCATGGCCTCGCACCAAAGTACATCTGAGACATGTTAGTACCATATGAACCAACTCGGACTCTGAGGAGCACAGGGACTGACCTCCTGGTGCCCAGAGTCAGGACTAAACATGGGAGATTCACGCAGCTAGATTTAGGGACAGTATTCCGGAAAATGTGAGACAATGTTCAAATGTCCAGGTTAAAAACAGGTCTGTTTTGCTGTGCTACAACTGAGGGATTTGATCTTTTATCTTACTCTAAAAATTATTTGTGGGTTAATTGTTTTGTAATTGTTGTCTTGTTGAGCACTTTGAGTTGCCTTGCAATTAAACTTGCCTTGCCTTACAGTACGTATGATATGGTATTTGTCTATTCCTCACTCCAGTACCTGTGCATGATGTCCCAAAGCTTGAGTGCGTCGTCTCTGTAGTAGTAGTTGGGCACCTTCTCCACTCCTCTCTCCTTAATGTTGTCTGGGACACACAGGGAGCTGTAGGTGACCGAGGACAGCGCCCTCTGCAGGATGGTGATTATTCCATCTGCTCCACAGGCGCTGTTCTGAAATGTTGGATTTACACATTAATCAGTGAGGAGATAAGTAATTCAATTCAATTCAACTTTATTTATAGAGCACTTTAAAAACAACACAGTTGACCAAAGTGCTGAACACAAGTTAAAAACACAATATAATATAGAAACAGAAACAATAATACAAATTGCACAGAAAGTCAACCAACTGAGTTAAAGGCCAAAGTAAAAAGATGATTCTTAAGAAGTGACTTAAAAACAGGAAGTGAGTCCACCAGTCTAATATTCCACAGTCTGGGGGCTGCTGCTGCAAAAGCACAATCCCCTCTCGACTTCTTTCAGGTCTTTGGGACCACTAAGAGAGCCTGGTCTGCTGATCTTAGAGCCCGTGACGGGGTGTGGGGCACAAGCAGATCAGTCAGATACTGGGGGGCCAATCCATGCAGACATTTAAACACAAATAACAGAATCTTAAAATCAATACGAAGGTGCACAGGGAGCCAGTGAAGAGAAGAAAGAATAGGGGTGACGTGATCAAATTTGCGTGTGCCAGTTAAGAGTCTGGCAGCAGCATTTTGGATTAATTGAAGGCGTGAAAGTAGGTTTTACTGAGTCCAGTATTTAGCAGCTGCCTGTTGCCTAAAGCCACGGAGAGGCGAGTTGGGTCCAATACCAGTGTATGAAATAATATACGAGCTTATAGTAATATAGAAAAACAAACGGAGAGGCTGGATCCAGTTGTGATGTAATTTAATTAATAAACGCTGCGGTCACAGGCAAAATTTGTGGTGAATACACAATACATTACTCCTCCACCAGCCAAACATGAATTCATTCACACAGTGCCCAAACGGGTCTCCTATAAGTAACATACAACTGTAGCTCACCTGTGCTAAAATCCCGTCTTTAGAAATCAGCCTCTCTCTGGCCCTGATGTTGATATGCAGAGTGTAACGAGTGTGAGGAACCAGAAGCTGCAGAGAAAAACAGAAAACACTTAAACCAGTGTCTCCAAACATACAGTAAACCAGTGTCATCAAAACATAAAAAAAAACATAATTATTGTATGTTAAATTAATAATATTTTTTTGTAATATTAAAACATTTGTGTTCATTATTTGACTTGAATAATCAAATTGTAATCATTTATATATCATTTATATGTTTGTAGCAGAGGCTATTTCCCCCAAATGAAATAATGAGAAGAGCCTATTTTTAACTTTGTCTTATGGTCGGTTATTATTTCGGAGCAGACCCGTCCGATTTTTAAGGGGGCCGCGGTGTTACTGACTTTGGAAATGGCTGACTTAAACACTGACTGTTCAAGATTGGGAACAAATACTACTGTGTTCAGGTACTTTTGACGGTAATTTTTAATTCAGAGTGCAATTACTTATTCTAATCCACTACATGAATGGACAGAGAAAACAACACGACTTTCTGACTTAGGTCTAAAGGTGGATAAAACAGTGTGCAGTCACTCAATAAGGTCCATGGCACTCGTTATCTGTAAGAATAGAGTTCTTTTAATTCCTGACGGGAGCGAGTTTGGAAACAGAGGTTTTTACTGATAATAAGTATCCTTCCAGATTGGCGACCCCACAGAGCACCGCTCACCTTGTACAGAGGATGCACCCTGGGAAAGTTTCTCAGCAGAGACACAGAGAAGACCTCACTCAGCAGGTGAGTGCGCAGCAGGTGTCTGTTCTGCCCCTGAGCCATGAAATCTGCCGCTCTCACAAAGGTCTTGGCCAGTAACCAGTCATACTTTGTGTCAGTGGGGACAAAGATGGGGTTGTCCTCTGCTGCAGTCTGTTTGAGCTGCACAAGCACATCAGAACATGTCAATAAAGCAAAGGGAAGACCAGCACCTTTTTGCAAAGAAACTATTACATTCTGTTCCCCTAGTTTCAATATTACATTTGTCTTCATCTAGAAAACGTGTTTTGAGTCACTGTTTGACGCTTTGGGCTGAGAGCTGATTTAACTTAGAAGTGATCTTTTAACTTCTGCCTGAAACCGCAGCTCTAAAACTGTGCTAACTACAAAACTGGGCCTTCAGGTTTGTACGCAGAGTGTGTCTGGAACAATCAACATGTGCTCATTCAGATTTTTTTTAAAATAAAATATTGGTAACAAAACGTTTGATAGATTATACAGCAATCGTCTTGACGGACTTTACAAAGTTGTGGATTCCTCAACAACAGATCAGAGAAACAAGAGATATAAGATATATGATAGATATATGAACTTTACAAGTGTTTGGCCTCTCACCTGAATGGCCACTGGCTTCAGCTCGTCATCAGAGGTTTTGTGAAATAGAACAAGAGGAGCCGCCAGATATTGCTTTTTGTCATTGATAATATTTGTCTTCACTCCATCCAACATTTTGTAGTCACACAGGAACATGTTGCCATTCTGAAAAATAGGCATCTATTTAATTACACAATCCAACAATTGAATAACGAGTAACTAGAAACCTTTCAAAAGTTAAAAACAACCGAATCCTGCAGAAAAAAGGCAACAGGACAAAATAATGTCTGTCAGGCAAATAAGACACGCCCCGCAGACCAAAGGCCTTTTCAGTGCTCCCATCATGCTTTTTATGATCTAATTATTATTATTAACTTGCAGCATTGATATAATGAGGTTATTATGGCTACCAGGGCGTATAATTAATTCTAAAGTGGCGTTTCTCAAGAAAACAACTGTATATTTATGCGGTTTTATTTCTTAAAATATAATTGACACATTTGACCAATCAATCTGCAGTACTGGACCACAGGTGACTGTGACAGAATGCGACTAAATGCGTTCATCTAAAAGAATGTGTTAGTTTAAGTGTAGCACACCTTCATCTCTTGTTCCAAAGTGAATCCTTCCAGATGCAGCATGTCGTCTGTGACTGGGAAGTTTGCAGGCAGAGAGCTGCAGCGGCGGATCATCATGGGGTTCAGTCCATTCAGATATTGGTAACCAAAGAACTCATCCTTCTCCCAGTTCTGCTCCACGTATTCTGAAAGCAACATTAAGGATTACATGTAAGCAACAACCAGAACAACAGGGGACCAGTGAAAGAGAAAATACCTGTGACAGTTGTTTTGCTGCGAGAATTCATGGCTTTAATTGAATCCATATCAGACCAAGGAATTGCACTATCTTTAAAATGTGCCAGTTTCAGCTCCAACATCCTGGAAAGTAAATCACAGAGTATTTTATCAAATAGTACTACCACTGAGTTAACCCCTTAACCTCCACCAGGGCATCAACGCCCACTTTAGCATATTTAAATTCATGTGAGTCAGTACCCAATGCAAGCTTGTAACTTAGTTTGGCCATGGATTGTTATAGCTAATTTTTTCGTATTTATTTTGCTCTAAACCAAAAGCTTGATTAGTAATAATTCCTCAAGCAAATAATTTGCACATAAGCACAATTCAATTCAAGTAACATTTATTTTTGTCTTGACGACTCAGGGACCAAAGCCTAGCCAGCCTTTTTTCCCTTTGATCCATTTTGGTTCACTCCAACCATAACTGTACACATTTTATTAAATCAAATGAAAGTATCAATCAAAGTAATAATGTGATAGAGAATGAGCGCTAACCTGGCTCTCGCCAGACCCTTGTAGTTCGCTGTACTTCACACAAGGGTCTGGGATTTCTCGATAGGAGATGTACATCAGATGGCAGGGCCTTGTAAATAAAATCCTTGTATGTGATTGGATAACCACGTGCTACTTCAACCACTCACATCGTAGCACACGAGTCAGCACACGACTCCCATGGGTTGCCAGATACTGGCAAGATTTTCCATCCCAAAACGCGCGAAAATGCCCAAAAACAAAAACTCCCAGAATACACTTTATTTTATGATAAATGGAATGGAGATGCGTAATTTAGTCATATATTAAGTATTGATACCAATTTTTTTTTTTATTGTAAAAAAAAAAAGAAAAAGAAAAGAATATATATATTGTTTTTTTTTTTAAAATCGATATCGATACTTGGCAAATGCATATCGATAATCGAATCGCGGGAGAAAGTATCGCGATATATCGAAAAATCGACCGGTGGGAGAAGATATATCGGAAAATCGATATATATCGTCACACCCCTAGTTATAATATTACGGGTAAGTCCTGCCTTCCCTTGTCTTAGCTATGGCTCAAAATCCTCAATGCTGTCCACTTTAACCAATCAATCATCGCACTCGTGCATATCAAATAAATATACAGTATATATATATATATATATATATATATATATATATATATATATATATATATATATATATATATATATATATATAGTCAGAGCTGCAGTCAGAGCTGCACCCAGTCCACAGAGCACCAGCCCCTCACTGATCCTCCTGCAGGTGGTGAGTCCACCACAGGAGCTGAGATCTTTCAGTTGGGGCTTTGGGCAAAGTAGGGTTAAGTGTCTAGCCCAAGGACACATTTATATACATTTACAGTGTATATATATCAGCGTCTTGGACATACCATCAAGTGGTCTATCCCCAGCTGAGAGCGTGGATGTTGTGAAAGGCCTCATTGGTGCACCTTTTTAGTAAACTTTTAACAACTTTTTAGCGCGTTTTTACTGTTCAGTGTAGTGTTTTTTAATATATCTGAGTGTTTTATCTTATTAATTCAGTGGTTTCAGCAAATAGCGCTAAGACCCGACTGAAACCCACAAGTAGCACAGAGGCTAACACAAGCTAACGAGGACATGGAAAGTGACAATGAAATTGGCTCAAACATGCACAATATTAGCTCCGTGAGAGCGACCGTGCCACCATTGCAGAACTACGAAAAGAAGTCCTTCGTCTCACCGCAGAGTTGAATGAGAAACAATCTCTAGTGTCCAAACTTTTTGAAGTCGCTGGCGGACAGCACTCACGGCTTATGTCACTGAGGTCTGCATATTGTGACACTGTCGTGTGGGAGAGATCCGTCAGCTCCGGACCCTCCTGTTCTACACCTAAGCGCCCGGTTCCGAATAATGAGCCCGCGGATTCCGAGGAGCCATCCTGCGCCGTGGCCCATGTCCTGAGTCTGGCAAACCGCTATGCAGCCCTCTCCACTGACATCCCGGCCCCCTCAGCAGAATCCCTGGATACTGCAGCGTACTCTACTGCTCGAGGATCCAAGTCCACTGCGAGGAAAACGCTCCTAAAGGAAGCAGTCCTCAAGCGAAAGAGCGGTCCACCAGCCATGTTGGCCTGTTCCCCTTCTTTGACCCCAGTGCAGCAGCCTCAGACTGGGGTAGCGAGCCATCATTACCGCCGCTCACCTCCACCGGGTCAGCAGCAGCGCCCAGAGCCAGCCCCTCTCACCGCTCCAGCGTCCCCGAGCACACAGCGTGGGTCGCCTGTAGCTGAGAGTCAGCACCCCCGCTCCTCCTCTCCATGTGTTCAGCGGCGCTCAGGCTCGGGTCCTGCTTCGGGTGAACCCGCTGGTTCCGTCCACCGAGCTCCTTCTCCGAGGCCGCGTCCACGTCCACTCTTCGCCCCGACCACTCTGATTATTGGAGATTCCATCGTGAGACACGTCCGCTTCTTTAACGCGGTCACTCGCTGTATTCCCGGAGCTACTGTACCAGACCTGCTCATACGTCTCCCTCCTCTGCTTCAGTCCCTGCCTGATACCGTTTCCAAGGTAGTCGTGCATGTGGGAATTAACGACATGAAACTTCAGCAGTCAGAAGTCACTAAGAAACATTTTATGGATCTGTTCCGCCTCCTTCAATCCTCAGGATTATCTGTTTTTATTTCTGGTCCAATCCCGACTGTAAACAGAGGTGACTGCCTCTACAGTCGTGTTGTGGCGCTGCATATGTGGATCCAGGCTACATGCAGCTCTTTTAACTTTGTCTTTGTGAATAACTTTGCCATTTTCTGGAAACGTTACGAAGCCTATCGTCCAGACGGATTACACCCAAACAGATACGGTAGCAGCCTGTTGATGGACTACATGCGTCATGTTGTTCAGCGTTCCCCGAGGGGGGCGTGACTGTTTACATCTGAGCCCCCTCGGACCCCACCGCACTCCCCCCACTGTTGTACTCACCGGGTGAGTACAACGGTGCAAACACTGCTCCCTGTCCGTCTGGCAGTGCATTACCAGTCCAAACACTGAACTGAGCTGACTCCCTTCTGACTCTGGGAGCTAAACAACAACAACAAGGGTTTTCACATTTTAGGCCAATTGAGACTGTGTGTGTTCCTCACACCTACTCAAAAATGTTTTTAAATTCTAAAAAACTAAATCAAAACAGGACAGCAGTTAGACGGTCCAACTCTGCAAATCTAATTTCTGTTCCCTGTAGAAATCAATCAACCACATTAATCGACTCTGATGTTATTTTTAAACTTGCTATGCTTAATGTCAGATCTCTATGTAAAAAATAATTTTTAATTAACAATTTTATCACTTCTTGTGATCTTGATTTTATGCTTACGGCTGAAACATGGCTGGACCAAAATACAGGAAATGCAGTTCTAATAGAAGCAACACCACCCAATTTTAAATTTGAATCCGAAATACGAGAAAACAAAAGGGGGGGAGAATCCGTGTACCCTTCGATCATTAGTTATTTCGTTTCAAAACAAAATCAGAAAAACAAATTTTCCATTCGTTTGTTGTTATTTTCCTTTTCTAAATTAAATTGGAAAATCAAAACATTCTAAATGAAATATTCACCCATTTCTTTGTTATGCAGTGGAAACAAACACTACTAAAACAACTTCCATTATTTTGTTTGATATGCTACCGGAAATGATGAGTGGTGAGAGACGGAAACAACTGCAAGCTGCACTCAACTCAACTCAACTACACGACAACAACTCGCGCTGTTGTTGAGCTCGCCCCCAGGCCCGAGCTCCAGGGGCAAAATGCTTACAGCACCTGGTATTCCCAGGCGGTCTCCCATCCAAGGACTATGGGGAAAACTTTGTGGGCGCTGCTCTCAAATAGAGAGAGCCGGCTTTCTCCATTCATTCTGGATTACACACGCACTCGGTAAGTCTCCTCTGATAAACACAATGTTTTTGTGCTCGTTCTTTATGTTTCACTCCATAAATCTCTCATATTGTGCGTAGATCGTTCACACACGTCTGTAGTTTAAATCTCGAGTGTGTAGTGCGCTGTTTATGATTGTTTACCTCCGTGTCATATGTTTGTTGCTGCTGCTGCTCGTAGATCTCTCTGTTTGGATCAATATTGTAAAGAAAACACTTTCTCTGCGTTGTCAAACAACATATTCACTGTATTCTACTGTATACAGTAATGCAGTTTGTTTACGTCTGGTTGTAGTAGTATTTCCAGCGCTAGCTAATTATTATTAGCTAATTATTGTTGATGTATATGTATGTATATACTATCTATATGTATTTCACATTTCTATAGTTCAGCAACACATTGAGTTGAAAATGAATTATACATTGTCGTAAACTAACTGCATATTAGTGTTTTACCAGTTCATATTTTCCTTCTATAACTGTACTTACTGTATCCCAGAGCCTCATGCTGCTAATGTCCAGATGTAAACATACAACTGTATATGTCTTCTCTAGATTATACAGGATTCATGCTTCTTTATAATGCTAAATTTAATTATTTTATTCTTTATTATGCTAAAGATATATACATTATACATACTTCTCTATCATGCTATAGCTAGATATTTTATGATCTTTTTTTTGTTGTTGCAGACAATATGAAGACATTTTCATTCTTTCCTGGCCGCGTCACTGTGATTTTTGGCAAGGGCCCACGTGGATTCCTGCTGCAGGACCCTTCGGAGGAGGCAAGGAAGATCAGGGACGACCCGTCCATGAGGGAGTGCGGTGCTCCTCAGAGGGAGGAGGTGGTGAGGGAGAACGCCCTCACTCTGGTGCGAGTGAGAGGAGGTGATGCCTCAGACAAGGCTGAAGTGCTGGGGGAGTACATCGCTCACAGCAGGCAGTAAGACCAGCACAGTGCCTGCTGTCACCATGCCCCCTGCAGCAGTGAACCCTGCTCAGACTCTCATGTCACCGCTGTCTGAGGAGGCCATAGAGAAGGTTGTGCAGCGGATCTTGGAAAAGCAGCAGCAGCCTCCAGCAAATAAACCCCACACAAAGAAATGCCTGTCTTGTGGCCAGCCAAAATCCAAATATGAGGGCGATGGCAGCTCCATCCACGAGT